AGTGGAGCCCAGTGGTGAAATTCAAAATTTTTCCCTACCGGTTCTGTGGGCGTGGTTTGGTGGGCATGACTTGGTGGGCATGTGGCCAGTGAGCGTGGCTTGGTGATCATGTGACTGGGTGGGCATGACTGCACAGTTGACTCACACACAATGTAAAAGCAGCTGGACTTCACACAATATGCAACAAGCAGGAACCTCACAGACAATCAGGCACAGCTGATTGTCGCACAGCTGATCCGTACTTAAAAATGCTATTTTTTAAAAGTTCCAAAGATTGCGCAGCACAGCTGACTATTGCACAGCTGACCTTTAAAAAAAACTTTTTAAAGCATTTTACTACTGGTTTCGGGCAAATGGTAGCATTTTTTACTACTGGTTCCAGTGGACTGGTCTGAATTGGTAGCATTTCACCCCTGCTGCAACCCATTCATATTATNTTACTGCCCACCCAGATTTCCTGTTTGCCTGAAGCGTGCATTCTAAGTTCCCCTTATTTTTGAGAGATGCAGGAAAATAAGGAACTATCTTTTTTCTAAGGCAAAGGGTATACAAAGGGTACTATTTCTTTCTGACCTTTTAAGCATTAGAATTAGAATATTTAGCCTGATTAAGTATTGGGGGTTTCACTTGTGTACCCCGTGCTGCATCACAATGAGCTTAGGGGTACTTCTAAGATATGTGTAAACAAAGAAAATGAAATGAAATTTGAACTCCTCCAAATAGTTCTAAATTTGATATAGTCAATTATTACACAATGTTAAAGCTAGCTGTGGTCATGGCATTAATTAAAGCTATGTCAGGATTATATCCTTAAAATGATTAGTACTCTCTCCCTAAATTATTTTTTCAAACATCTCCTCTCTCTTTTACTAAAAGATTCACAGCAAGAAATATTTATAAAATTTGTATATAAAATAGACCAGTATTTATCTTTAATCTCAGAAAAGAAATAGAGGTTTTATAATATAATAAAGTATACTATTTTATAGCTTTCTAACATTAACACTATTATATTGAAAGATGATTTTTTTTTTCAGAAATGGAGAGGAAATAAAGAAACATTTCTTCATTTCAAGTCCCAGACACAATCCTATTTAACAAAAATATAGATTTAAAATGGAATGAAGGGAAACTTTGTTTCTTTGGAATATATTAGTATGACATTTAGTAAAAGCAGTGACAGCATAACTTACTCTGATAACACTTCTCATAGAACAGCGATATTTTGGCAGGGAATTTAAAGTCACTACAGACCAAGAAATGGGAACAGAACAATCTATATGGATGAAAGGAAGATTTTACAGATGGAGGAACAATATCTAATATGGTTATAAGTTGGTGATCTCACATTCTAAAAGTAAATTGAGTATAATATGCATGTTTTATCATTCCCTAAAAACAAAGATGTAAAGGAAATAATTTTACACTTTATCATTGGCTTTGAAAGAGTATTTCTTAATATAGAATACAAAGAGGCAGTGTCAGAAATATATAGTGGATTATTAAAGGATTCTCAAATATAGATTTTAAAATATTTATAGAAACAGTTATGAAAATCTTAGATATAAAAAGTAGAGCACTTTCCTAATGGGATCTGTTTCTGAAAGTATTAGGGGACAGTCATGGAATTTTATTTGTTTGTTTGTTTGTTTATTTAATTTATGTGGTGAATTCTGTGCAAGTTTTATATATATAATTTTTTCCCCCACCCCTGTGGGTGGTCTGTGTTTTCCTCAGTCTCGGGTCATCTGCAAGAAGCCTGGAAATTTTAGGGTTCTGCATGGGCTCTTAAGTGTTTCTAGCACTGAATCCTTCTGGAAAGAAAACTCTAATGTTCCTAGGATTTTTTGGAACCACTCTCCCATCTTGGGAGTCACAGCCCTCAGCGTACCACTCCTGGAACCACTTTGGCCTTTACTTGCCGCATCCTTTCCACCCAATAATCATTTTGAAATTATAGGTTTAGAGAAGTTAAAAGTGGTCATGAATTAGTCATATATTGTGATTATGATACATTTTTTTTCTTATTGGGATCTTAATATTGTTTCATTGTAATGAGATGTTTGCAAAAAAACACCAAGCTTAGAGAACAAGAAAGCAAATGTTTAACTTAAGCTACGTACATTCTCTACTACCATATTCCTGTGTAGTGTTAATATTTGCCTCTTAAAAAAAAGTTAAACCTGTAAAAAAGCAAATTAAGAAGGAAATGTTTAATCACTGCCATGTCCCCCCCCCAAAAAAAAACCCCTCAACAGCATTAGAACTTTGATCAAAGTTTAACAAACATTAGATCAATGTTGTTTATTCATGACAAAATAATACTAATATTTTTTGTACATCAATTTGCCTGGAAAAAAAATGTAAATATGCACTCTAGCTTTTCTCATGTATTACTCCCCCCCCCCCGCAATCATTTACCACTTCAAAGTAGTATTCATCGTTCTTCAATTCTTTCCCCCAGCAAAAACTCTGATCTGTGGTCTATTCATTCCAGACATCAGAAAAAACATCTAATCAACTTCAATTATAGAAAGCCAGGCTTTGATTAAGAAAAACTTTATAAACATAAGAAAAGTCCAGCAATGAAATCAGTTGCTAAGGAGGTGACATTATTGTACATGTTCTAGTAAATGATGGATAGCTGTCAGATGGGGATACTTTTATTTATATTTCTGCACTGAAGAGAGGGTTGGAAAATGGAGCAAATGGTTTCTTTCAAAATGAAGTGCTTTCATCAGTGATTTGGCAGTAAATTATACCAGCATGAAATACCCTACTCCCGTGATGGTGAACCTATGTCACGCGTGATGGCAAACCTAGGGCACATGAGGCATTGCCCTGGCAGCTCCAACGTGCATGCGTGTGCTGGCCAGCTGACTTTGGCTTTCTTTTAAGGCCGTTTTTTGACCTCCGGAGCCTTCAGGAGGCTTTCCTGAAGCCTCTGGAGGGTGAAAAACGGCCCTATGGGCAAACTGGAAGTCCGTTCTCGAACTTCTAGTTTGCCCATAGGGCCGTTTCCCCCCCTCCTCCTGAGGCTTCAGAGAAGCCTCCTGAAGCCTCCGGAGAGCCTCCGGGGGACAGGAGAGACTGTTTTCAACCTCCCCAGGCTCCTAGAAAGCCTCTTGAGCCTGGGGAATGCGAAAAATGGGTCCATCGCACGTCAAAAGTGGGGGGAGGGTTCAGATGCATAGCATTATGGGTGTGGACACGCCTGCGCACAACACCCCTTGCACTCCCCCTCACTTTTGGCACACAATGGGAAAAAGGTTAGCCATCACTGTCCTACTCTCATTTCAGGTCTGTATGCTGTATCTATTTCAAGCCTCTGTAGTCAGTGGATTATTTCAAATATAATGAGTAACAAATCTTACTCATGGGCAAAGTTATGGGGCAAAAGATAAGAAGCTGCATGATAAGTTGCAAGTGAGTAAAAGCCACCTAAGTCTATGATATGATTCTGTTTGGAGGTCTTGTTTAACCTCCCTTCTGGCTGCCATAGTTTACTATTTCGGCTATTAACTATTGTAAAAATGGGAGGCTTGCAACACAATTTTACAGCATATCCTTAGCTCCTAACATCACTTGATTTTCTATAAAATCAACTAACTCAGTAAATCAGCATTATAACATGGTTAAAGACTTATATAGTCAGTGCATGATGAATCAATCGGCACAAATATGAAGTCAAAGAGAGCCATATTTAGCCTAAGCATCAAAGTGGCCATGCTTGCTTGAGATTATAGTTGTGAGATAAAACGTTGGATTGGGGGATGTCCAAAAGCTGAGGTTAAACAATGTCACTACTTAAAAATTAAGAGTTTAATGAAAATGTGTCCATTTTATTCCCTCACTCACCTCCCACTTGGAAGTTTGGGAGTTCAGACTTAGGTAGCGGCAATAAGAGGTGCGTTGCTTCTGGTTCGGCCTGAATTGGGCAAAACGGTAGCAGTGGGGGTGGGAGGCTCTGCCCGCCCACCCGGACACTTCTGTGCATGTGCAGAAGCTTTGCATGTGTGCACACAAGCAAACTGGTAGTAAAAAAAATTGGAAACCCACCACTGGGCATATGTTTCTCTTCTAGGGTGCAAAGAAAAAAAAATCTGCTGCAAACTCCACATGGTATCTGGAAGGGCTCCACCCAATTGCTCCAATTCTGCTCCAAACTAAGGGATTACAAGGTTGTAAAAGGGAATTTTATATGCACACTAATATTATTGAAACTGCTGAATTGAAACATAGACCAGTTTAAAACTGAAGATGGAGAGTAGTTTTGTTAAAGTTAATATCTTGATTTGTTTTAAGAAATGGAAGAGCATAATTATGTATATAATGGTAAATCTCTGATCCATGAAGCAGTATAATTTACCAACGTTTTCTCTTTGGTTTGCTAGCTAATTACCAGGTTCCATTGCAACTTTCCTTGATTCTGCTCCCCATGCTTTCATTTCCCCTATTTCATAATTGTTTTCCATCTGGGTAAATCTAGGATTAAAACCCGCTTTTCTCACCAAATAGCATAAAATCTAAGTATAATGACAATGCACAGAAGCATCATTCTCTCTTTCTATTGCCAGATGTTTTGCTTCTGTGTTGGATTCCTGCATCCTTGACTCACATTGCTCTCTCTAGAGAAGAGAATAAAAGCAGCACAATTTGTACAGAGTAGAGCTAGGAAGGATAGAGAAGGGGTGATAGAAAGGACAAGCAAACGGAAAACAAATAAAGCAAAAAGAAAATATTTTAGCTTTGGCTCTAACCGTAACTGGTGGATAGTTGTTAAAAATATTAAAGAAAAAATATTAGAGAAGTGAATGAATCCCTTGGATTCTTAGAAGTGGGCGGGGTGATTGATGAGCCAGCCAATCAGTGAGTGGTGGGCGGGGCAAGCGTGGTGCGGATGGGTGTGGGGAGGGAGCTGGAACTGGTTCTAAATGGCAGGGTAGATTTGTGGAACTTCTTCTATGGAAGAGGTTAGAACTGGTAGGAACCCACCCCTGGATAGATCCCACAAGGAATGTGATGCTTGGAAGAAGACAAAGTTCTTGGCCTCTTTGGAAAACAGATACAAGGCAACCGGTATGGAAGATATAATGAAATACTGAGAGCATTCTTGACTTTGATTTAACAGTTTGGATTTCCCATACGGCAGTAGCAGATGGTCTGAAAAAGTCGGCAGTGGCAAAAGGCACAGAAATCACAGCAGGGACGAGATGGTGGCTTGCAGCTTGCCCAAGTAGCGACACAGTTTGGAGGGGGAGGCGGTTTGGGTCGAGAAGGTTTTTTTTGTTGCCCCATTCTCTGAGGAGAGAAAAACAAAGCAAAACATACAAATAAAGCTTTTGAAAAGTGTTTCAGAAGCTTTTGTTGCCTAAGAGTCTAACTGAGTCTTGCTTCAGTTGCTCTAACTGAAGTAAATCTGTGTGTTTCATTTTGAGCACATTTTAAGCTTCTTTGTTGTATTGAGTTTTTCATTGTATTATATCCTGCTGCAGATTTAAAGTACAGACAAGTGCTTGAAAAGACGATGGGTGAAGAGCATGTTGGGTTGTTATATGCAAATTTAGCCATTGGTTGTTGGTGAAAACCAGGTATCTTCTTCATAGTTCACATAAGAATAAAAATATTGTTTGTTATTTATTTACAATATCCAATCTTAGAATCTTAATGTCTCCAATTGTTTGTGGATTTCCAAGCCCAAATTTGTAACAACCTCAGCAAAGTATAATTCCTGAAACTATTTAAGAAAGTCATGACAGTCCAGAAAAAAATATAAATTGGTAGTTTATTTATCTTTGTAAATATGCTAAGAACAATCACCCACCTTCATAGATTTCTTTTTCTCAGCTTCTTTCCTGCTTAGCTTCAAGGAAGTTTTGGTTAAATCTTTAGGGGAGGAAGAGAAAGAATTCAGACACTTGTACAATCTTGATTTTTAACTGCAACAGGTAGGACAATATAAAAGTCTTGAACAGGACATTTCAATTGTTGTCACCAACCCATGCGTTTCGTCTATATAAACGTGACTCTCTCTCTATTCTTTTTGGAATAATAAAGTAGAAATAAAATACTGTTGCTTCTGCTTGAAAGAAATCACAATTACATTTTACTTTCAGATTATGTAAATGGTCTCACATCTAATTGTTGGTCCTGGGGTCTTGAAAATGGAATGAAAGAAGGATGAGTATCTGGATAGCCAAATAGGGTACTAAAAAAATTCTTATCTACTGGTTCTGTGTGCATGGCTTGGTGGGCTTGGCTTGGTGGGTGTGGCTTAGTGTGCGTGACAGGGGAAGGATACTCAAAATCTCATTCCCTCCCCACTCCAGGGGAAGGTTACTGCTAAATCCCCATTCCCTCCCAATCAGCTGGAACTCGGGAGGCAGAGAATAGATGGAGAGGGGCTATTCAAAGGTGGTTTTACTGGTTTTCCAAACTACTCAAAATTTCCGCTACCGGTTCTCCAAAACTAGTCAGAACCTGCTGAATACCGCCTCTGGTGTGCACCCCAAAGTGATAAGGACACATGGATTAGCTAGGGAGAGCGAAAGGGGATTTTTTTGGCTTTGCATGATTTTCCAACCTCTCCATTAGGATGTCTGGATTTAGGCGGGTGGACGCCTGCTTTAGGTTAGCAGTAATGAAATGTCAGTTGGTCTTACCTGAACTGCATGTCTCGAAGGATGGTGTGGGAGCAGTCACAGCTGGGTATTGTCACGGTTTATCTGCCCGGAGACTGAGGTAAATCTTGAGGCCACACCTCTACTCCTCCTCTGACTCTCCAGATTAACTGATGGTCCAGTCAAGGTGACTCTAGAAGGAGGGGAACAGGGTAACCCCCCCACTCCCCTCCTGATCCCTGACTGACTGGTAACTATCTGCTCTCAGGCCCATCCTGCGCAGGGCACGCTACGGGCAGGAAGTGACTGTTCCCACACCATCCTTCGAGACATGCAGTTCAGGTAAGACCAACTGATAATCTCCGAAGTGAGGTGTGGGAGGAATCACAGCTGGGACATACCAAAGCTAGGTGTCCCTGGGAGGGTCCATAGGCCTGAGTCCCCCCGAATGTCTAGCACTCTCTGGAGAACTCTCCTCCCAAAAGACGCTTCCACAGAGGCACAGATGAAGGGAGAGGGCAAAGCCCATGCTGCCACCCTGCATATGTCCTCGATGGGAGCCTGGGTGGCCCAGGCCGCTGAGGTGGAGTGTGTGGTGATGCCCTCAGGCAGCAGGAGCCTCCGTGCCTCTTAGGCCTTGGAGATGGCCAGTCTGATCCATCTACTGATGGTGGCTGGGGAGACCTTCGCTCCCCTAGTAGCCAGGTGGAAGGAGATGAAGAGGGCCTCCGACCTCCAAATGGCTGATATGCACTTCAGATAAATGCGCAATGCCCTCCTGACATCAAGACGATGCCCTCCACTGGAAGGAGCTGGACAAAAGTCCGGGAGAACAATCTCCTGAGCCCAATGAAAGGGGGAATTAATCTTTGGCATGAAGGCTGGGTTGAGCCTTAGGGCAACCCTGTTGCTGTGGAAGGTGCAGAGATCCACCCTAGTCGACAGTGCGTTAATCTCTGACAACCTCCTGGCGGAGGTGATGGCTATGAGGAACGCTACTTTGAGTGTAAGCAGTTGCAGACTCACCTCACTCAGCGGTTCAAAGGGTGCTTCCAGGAGTGCCTGGACCACTGTGGGCAGGTCCCAAGAGGTAAAGCGGTGGATCACCGGGGGCCAGAGGTTGGTGTCTAGACTAGTCTGGAATTTAATAATTTAAGGTCTAGGATGGCCCTCCATGCTCCAGAGCTCTTGGGGACCACAAAGAAATTAGAATAGAATCCTGATTTCTTCTCCTCCTCCGGCACCAGCTCCACAGCTCTGATCTCCAGTAGAGGCTGTATGGCCTTGTGCATGAGGGAGTGCTTGGCTAGGTTCTTGGAGGAGGAAAAGACCCGGAATCTATTCGGGGGTTGTGAGCGAAACTCCAGGTGGAACCCGAACCTGACTGTAGCACCCATGCATCTGTAGTGATGCCAGCCCAACGATCCGCGAACAAAGTAAGGCGGCCACCAATGGGGTGATTCGATCCTGAATCACTTGTTTCTGCGGAAGGGGCGGCCGCCCCCCTCGAAAGGGACACTTACTAGACTATTGGAACCTGTCCCTGTCCCTAGAGAACTGTCTACCCCCCTGTCTGGGGAACCTGGGCACAGAGTACCTCGGTTGTTGGAAGTCCTGCTTGGGTGCTCGAAAGTTGGATCTTCTGGGATAGGGTGCCGAACGGTGATCCGATCGCTTTGACGTGGATGGGAAGATCTTTCACTTGTTCTTGTCCTCGATGAGGATGGGGTCCAGGGATGGACCAAAAAGTTTTCCTCCCATGTACTTTGTGTCTGCCAAATACCATTTTGCACGGAACTCCTCCTGCCAGTTACGCAGCCACAACAAATGTCTGGATGCCACTGACAAGGATAGAGTCCGCATCCAGTGTGGTGTCCGCTGAGAACTGGGTGGCTGCCATCACCTTTGTGATGTCTTGCAGGAGTCTAACGTCCGAAGCCAGGATTCTGTCTTGGAGTGCTCCAGCCATAGCAAGGTGGACCTGTTGAAAAAGGAGGCTGCTGCGGCAGCCCTGATTGCCCACGATACCGCCTGGAATGTCCTGCTCATTACTAACTCCGCCTTCCTGTCCTTTGGTTTCAGGCAATTGAAAATGTCTCCTGTCACCGCTGGTGAGGAGGGGGCCAGGCTAGCCACCGGGGCACCCACTGAGGGAACCTGTAAGGCTTGATCAAAGTTAGTATTAAGGTTATAGAATCTGCGATCATTGCTACCCAGAGTGGGAAAGGTGCCAGGCTGAGCCCATTGTGACTTAGCACCTCTAGGAACAGGTCTGGGGTAGGGATCTCCTCCCTCTCCACCTGGGGTCTGTGGAAAGGACCCTTCTTGGCTCCCCTGCTCATGCTAGAGGTAGCAGAGTCATGGCTGGCTACTGGAACATCCAGGTCTGCTGTGGCCTTAGCTATGCACAGCAGGGAACTAAAGAGAGCAGATGGCTGGGGCCTCAGGAGCTTGGACTTCTTTGTCATCAGAGAAGCCGACCTCCTTAAGCTCCCCCTCCTCTGATCTCGACTCCTCGCTAGCCGTGGAGGGAGAGTCTGATCTGAGGTCTCTGGAGGTGGAAGGACCATGTAGGTCTAGATGACCTTGAGGTGGCTTGCGAGCAGCCTTGCTTCTAGGCCCTGAAACTGATGCTGCCCGACCGAGGAGATGCCCTGGGGAGTAGCTCTGGCTAAGACCTCCTGGAAACTCTGGGAGAGCTCCGGATAGGCTGGAGATATCCTGGGGGGATCTGGATCTGCACTGGGATTGGGGCCTTGCGGAGCCAGATGTTGCCTTGGCAAGCTGCTAGAATGGCATCCGAAGGGGTTTCCTCGCGCTCTGGAGGGGTGAACTGGAGATAGGGAGGGATAGGGAACTACCCCCTTTGGGAACCATGTGGTGACGCTGTTAAGCCAGGAGGATCCCTAGGGGAGACGGCCCTGACTGGAGAATGGGATCTGGCCGGGGAAGGTCTGATAGTATTCCTATTTCTCCTGCCTGCTGCCTTACTTCCTTCTTAGCATGTTCCCTCCTCGATGACTTGGAGGTACACTTCCTTGCTGCGGATCTGCCCCTCTCTGTTGGATTGGGCCCCCGGGAGGTCCCCTCTCCCGGGTCTGCAACCCTTGGGGAATCGGTCCTGACCATCCTGTGCTTCTCGAACTGTCCACCATTGCGACCCTACTCACGGTTAGCCAATCCAACTCCTCTCTCTCTCTCTCTCTCCATTGAAACCAGTCAACAGGCTGCCTGCAAAGGCTCGGTACTCCCTCGGCTCTTCGCTCTTCAGCCATGCCGCCGATCAATGGCCCGAGTTAAGACCATCCCACTGTCAGATGCTGTGGCTCTCCCTGGATTACCGGCGGAGTTTGGGCCCAATCTTCTACTGTGTGCTGGTGGTGGTCAAGGGCGCTTGTGGTCTCTGCGACCAGAGACTGGAGCTGCGCTCCGTGTGTATGCCCTGGCACCTAAGATGGTGACTGCCGACCACGACGTCCGAACATGTGAGCTGACTCTGACTGAGTCGCTCTCTTCCTTCCTGTGCCTTGAGATCCTCGCGGAGAAGCCTGAAGCTGTAGCCGCACTTGTGCGCGGAGCCTGGGGCTCCCCCCCATGCTGCTGGGCCATGGCTCGGGAGCCTCTCAGCAGTGCTAACTACTTCTGTGCTCAGGCTGATTAAGAGCGCATGAGACGAGGTAAGTTTTTACGATCAAGAGAAAGCTAAAATTTAAAGTAAATCACGTACCAAGGAGAGCCAGGTATTTAGCTCCTTCTGGGCCGAAGACTGAGATTAATCTGGGGAGTCAGAGGAGGAGTAGGGGTGTGGCCTCAAGATTTACCTCAGTCTCCGGGCAGATGGGCCGTGACAATACCCAGCTGTGACTCCTCCCACGCCCCACTTCAGAGACAAGCGAAATACTGAATATTTATGTAAAAAAATGGACTAAGGTGGGATGAAACTAGTAATTTAATTCAATTTGGCAAAACAAAGATACTTTTTATTGCAATTAAAAATTAAAATAAAAAAGCTTTAAAAGAATTGTTTTATTAAAAAAATTAAAACAATTAAATTGTTGTGTGTATCAATGTTTTTTATAAGTTTAAATTAAAAGAGAGTATTTTACTGTCCTTGTGTATGCATTGTAATTTTATCTTTAAAGTAAGGAAAGTTAAAAGTTGACTTCACTATGCTATTTTGAAGATCTATGAAAGTAACCCACAGAAGGCAATATATTTCTTTGTTTCTTCACGTTATCTGCATTTACCAGCCTCAACTTAAAAGCTGAAGGCTGAGAAAAAAAGAAGGGATGTGAGGGTTTAATCCCTCTCCACTCTGCAGTCTGCCCCTAAAAACAAACTGTTTTGCTTTTAGGACTAAATATTTATCCTTTCCTCATGGCTGTCTGAATCTCATTTTCATTTATTCTTTTGCAACCCTGGTTTGAGTTGGAACTCCAATTTATTCTTCTGACAAAACTAATGCACAAAAATGAAAAGTAAATACATTTGAACATTTAAATAATTGAATAATTGACATTTAAATAAATTAAATTGAATAAATAAAAATTATGAACATCCAGAAAGCCATGCAACCATTTCTTCCTTTTTGCTTTTGCAGAAAGGGCGATTGGTGATTAGTACCACAGTGCCTTGCTATCTGAAAGCAGGGAGGCAATCTCAAGAACTGCAAAGTAGCTTAAATTGTTATTTAAAGTACAAAATAAAATGTTGTTCTCTTGATAAGTTGGAGTGCCTACAGGCAGATTCAGGCCTTTGATATTCTCTTCCATTAGTTTTTCACTGCCTCATTAATAGCTAGAGTTATTCTAAGACAGATAGACAAACATATGGGTCAAAAAAACTCTTTCAATGTCCATGAAGTTTTAATCTCTAACTGAATGCACTATCACCCTATGCCTCTCCATTAATTTCCCTCAATAAATTCTTAAATAGAAGACTGTCAGATTAGTTGTTCTCAATTATAAAACAGCCTTACTCACATGGCCCATCTGCTCTGATTTTTCCCAGTTTTCAAAAATGACCATGTATGAGTTACAACCTTAGTTTAACAATTACATTCCACATAACTTTCAAATTTTCACCATTACAGCCAGATGTAATCCAAAGTCAAACCGTATGTAATGTGGAAAAAAACATCTTATATGTCCCTTCAGTTGATGAAGTATACAAAGTAAGACTTCTTATGACTAAGGAAACACCTTAGCTATGGTGTGAATCAGGTTGATTCCCTCTCTACTAAGCATTTCCAGATGCTTCTAAATTTCATCACATAAACCATTGCTGGCTTTGAATTCACTTGAATGCTATTTGTCTTGAAGGCCATTATATAGTTAAGAAGCTTTGTTGTACCACATTCTCCCTTTCCTTGACTTCACCTGTGACAAAAACGATTAAGGATGTGGTTAGTATAGTTAGGGTAACACAGAAACTAATCCTTCTTTTTCCTTTCAACATTGTTTCCTCCACCTTCTTCATTTTTCACCTCCCCTTCTGAATGCAGTATGATATATTTACCAATCTTATCCTTAAACCAAGAGATGCCATGGGAGAAAGAATCACTGTTGTCTAATAGAGACATCTTTAGAGTGAAACCTGAATTATTATGTAATGGAACAAAGTTAAATTTTGTCATTGTCTAAAGAGAGCATATAAGGGTGAAAAATCTGGACCAGTAGTAATTCTGAACAAATTGCTAGTTAGGAAGAGCTTTAAAACAAGCAATAAAAAGCAACTGTATTAAGATGTATTATTATTTAAGCTAAATATTGTTTTGAAGCCCCAGATAGCTAGCAAATATAATCCATAGTTTAATGCATTCAGCCCGTGGGCTGGGAGTTGACACCCCTGCTTTAGAAGATTTGATGATTACTAATATCACTAGAATAAACTCTGACCTATTAACTAAGTAATCATGAAAGTCATAATGATTTAATTAACAATATATGAGCAGATGGCTAACAGCAAAAAATGTTCCTATCGTTCCCAGTAAGTCTGTGAAGTACTGTACCTTTATATAAATTGGCCTTGATGTTTCAGTTGGCTCATCTGCTGAACTTTGTATGGGTTCAATTAAAATAGACTAGCAATGTTTCTTTTTGTTTCTTTTTAAAGATGAAAAGATTTATGAGTATGACTGTGAAGTTGAGGTTTGCAAATATAAGTAAGATCTAAATTGCTCAGTATCTAATCTGGAATATAAATTTTTGATTTCAGACATTCACTTTGATTTTCTATTTCTCCCAGAACAAAATAAAATAACAATGTAATGACTATGGTAAATTGGAATTAAATTATATCATCTTTTATACTTGTAAATTTAAATTAGTACTTTCTGTTCTGCTTATTTAATGTAAGAAGAGCGAGCCCTTATCTTGTTCCTCGTTTTTAGCAACTTTAAATGTATTTCACTTAACCATTTAGTTTTCACAAAAATTCAAGGTTTTGAAATATTTCAGCAATGTTATGGGATTATGTTATCTGGTTTATTTCTTTTTAGAATTTTTCCATAAATGTTCTATTTTATTCTGTTGTTTTATTGTATGCTACCTAGGGTCAGACTGCACCTAAATTTAATAAAGTACATTCAATTTTTGGGGGGCTCTGGCCAGCCCCTTGCCCCCTAGTTGCCACTTTAATCGTATCTGCCATATTATATTATGGTGAGAGAGAACATTGTCCATATGTAACTGGTTAAATTTTTTATCTGTTTATGTGATATATAGTTTAATTGCAATGTTTGCATGCTGATTTTTTATTCAAAAGCAAACACAGAGCATTTATCCTGGCACCTGTCCTCTAGAATGATATTCTTCCAGAGATCTGAATTGCTGCCAATTTGGTGATATTCCTGAAATCTTTAAATCTTATCTCTTCTCCCAGGCCTTGTGATTTACATTTGTGGAGCCCTTGTTTTATTTATTTTTAAATGTAAACCAGTCAGACTTGTTCTAGAGTCAATAATACTAACAACAACAACAAAAACTGGGAACATAAAGTGGAAAAAGTTATCGAAAATGAGAAGGTGAAGATCTTGTGGGACTTTTGAATACAGACAGATCGTCATTTAGAACACAATAAGCCATATATCACAGTTGTCGAAAAATGAAGCATATAATTTATTGTTATTGCTGTACCAGTAGATTCCAGAGTTGAAGAAAAAACTGGAAAAAAATCACAAAATATCCTGACCTGGCCATCAAAACTACACAATTATGGATGAAACATGTAACAGTGATACCCATTGTCATTGGGATTCTTGGTACCATGTCCAAAATTTTATAAAATACATCAAGAAATTGAAGCTTCCTGCAATAACACTAGCAGAACTGCAAAAAACTGTGCTACTGAGAACATCATATATTTTAAGAAGACACTTCTTTGATACCTAGGACGCTGGCAGCAACACGTATTAACATTAGTACAAGTCAATGGTATTTGTGACACATCTTTAAATGTTCAGTTGACTGAGTTTCATGTTTAATAAATAAAGAAATAATAATAATACCACCACTACCAATAGTAATAGCTGCTTTGGGTGCAATCCCAAAACACCAAGAGCTTCAGTTGAATACCGCTAACACCATCAAACAACAATAGCTGTCTATCTAAGGTCCTTGGGTGGGATTTGATGGATGGATAAAATATGCCAAATCTGGTCTAAACATCTGGCTGACCATAATCACATAGTTGGCCACACATGGATACAGGTATATAGAAATCATACTTTACCATTCAAACATGATTAGAATGATTTTGTGCCATGGAGGTGGTGTCAACTCCTACAAACTACATGATAGATTTTCTTCAGGATTATTAAACTAGATTAAATGATTACATTCTATCATTAACATCTATTGAGAAATTGTACCTGGGGATTTTGAAGATTTAGTAATTTTGTCACTTAGAGAGACAAGTGTGGAGGTTTTCAAAAAGGAAGTTTTTGAGCAATAGCTGAAAAACCTCTTATCCTTCTTATCCCTTATTTGTTCTATCTACAAATAGAAAGTAAAATAAAAACATAGATGTGCTGTCAGTATTATTGAAACATCCTCACCATTTAAATACTATTTTGATGACTATTTCATTTTATTCACAATTCCATCTGTTAGAAGAAAAATATAGGTATATGAGAATGTTGCTTCACAGATTTCATTTCACAATGTAGTACTGAAAAGAAAGAGAGGAGATAGGAGGAAAGGCAAGGAATCTGTCTTCATTCATGGCCTTAAGATTCAAAATAGGATTCATTTTTACCAACCTACTATAGAGATGGGAGGGAGATCTGGCATCTTGATTTTGTTGTTATTTATTGCATTGCTGTCCGAGTTCTGCTTTTCCTCAAATATCATGTAACAATAGCTGGTTGTAAGCAACATGCAGCAAAGAAGGAAGCTCAGGGGAAAGTTCTTATATTCCATTCTGGAAGGCAAAAAAGAAAATATGTTTTTGCTAAGGTCTCAGATACTTAAAGAAAAAAAATGGTAGGTCATATATCAAAAGTATAGCCAATTTTTTTTAGCGTCTGTGTTTCTTTGTCCTCCCTCCTCACTTATCATTCCTTTGCTATAATGGACCATTGCAGTTTTAGTCTGTTACAACAAAATAAAAAAAGTGTAGAAAGACATATTCACCATTGATTAAAATGAGATGAGAACATATTTGATCAACAGAATTAAATAATTATTGCATAAAGAAGTGATTTTAAATCCCTTTTCATCCTTTCTTGAATATCTCAATGTGCTGAGTGTATAGGTTTCCTTCCAAGAAGCAGTTCTGAATAATTCAATAAACTCAAAAAACAATATAAGCACTATTTACAATGTCATGTTAGATTATAATTATGAAATTATCTGCAATAAAATTTTAATTAAATAATTCTGCAAAACACAAAGTCAGGAACAAAACTAAAACCTCTAGTTTATGTCTGAGAGATAACTTTTTGCAAAAACTCATATATCCATTGATTTAAAAGTTTGGTTTGGTAAAATATATATGGGTCAAATACAGAAATTCACAATTGCGTATAGTTTATATATGTTTATTTACTTATATTTTTATTATATTATGTATTTATTAGATTTATTTGCTGCTCATCTGGCCCTCAGGCAGCTCTGGGTGGCTTACAAAATTAAAAGCTATAAAACCGTGAAACATAAATATTTCTAAAAACAATAACAGAATTTAGCAAAAAAGCAAAATTACAGTTAAAATGAAATAGGGGAGAGCAGGGGGAGAGGTTTCACATTTGGGGCAAGGTTAAATATATTTACATAGCAATTACATTTTAGGCATGTGACATTAGAGCCATTTCAAATTGCACAATTATTTTCTTAATTTAAAAACCTTGCAGAATGAAACATATCATCAGAAAATAATCTGTTCAATAGATAATGTCCCTTTTTTATTCTTGCAATTTTCCTTTATTGTTCTCAGACCTTCAAAATACTTTCAACTCTCTGGTAAAAGTTTTAAAATATAGGCACTCACATATAAATACATAAAATAGCCAAAATGTGTTTGTTAGTCAACAATTAAGATAATGTATTGAGTGTCTAGAAATTGTAGTACATACTTTCTATATATCCAAACCTTTATTTCCTTCTTTGTGTAATAATATTCAGTTAAAAAAGAAGGGAGGATAAAATTATTTGTGATAAAAATAAACAAAATGTTACCTTGGTCTATTAGTAGGTAAATTTGACAATATTTGCAGACTATTTTGAAATGTTAATATTTTCTCTTCTTTTAGCATCGAAATAGCTCCTATCAAACACTACCTCTACTGATGCACACAATTCATTTTGTCTATGTAAATATCAAAACATCAGTATAATAATTCTAGATTCTTTAAAGAATAGAAATTCTAGAATAAAATTTAAATATTTAACATCCATAGAATTAAAGATGCACGGAATTGAGTATCAGAAAAAGAAAAAGGAGCTTTTATCCATAGAACAAAATTGAGTAACAAGGCTGAAACCAACCAATTAGAAAAGAAATAAAAATTTGAACTTTATTGATACAAAAACCAAAACACAAATCATGTATGGTGTGTTTGGATTTCATTTGTCAGCTGTGACCAGGGGGGCATTTGCTCAGGTTCGCCTGATGCGCCAGTTGCGGCCCTA